AACTTCAGGAATAGGACTGACTACTCAGCAGAGAACAGCCATTGAAAATGCGACCGTTGCATTTTTCTTGCAGTGTATTTCTTGCCATCCTAATAATCAAAGATTGATGGCTCAGGTAACATAAACGTTAATCTGAATAGTTGATGTAGCATAAAATACCACTTTAGCTGGATTTGGAGGACTGGTTGAGAGCGTCTCTTTCTGAGATTTCCTTGTGGTGTGGCCAACTCTTCTATTCTGGCACCTATGATGAGATCAGAATTCAGTAAATGTGCAGGACAGCACAGTAATCTTACAGAATAAACATTCTGGAACTGCTGAGGTTCTTATGCTACTGCATAACATGGGAAGCAACTTCAAGAACTTAGCAATAGCAAATTTTATTACAGATCAAAATGGGTTCTAGCTGTGTGAGGAATCGAGAATGGCCTGCTTCAAAGTCTGGGCTCTTTGGGTAAGGTTGGAATAGCCCAGGGGTAGTCAACCTTGGCTCTTTTATGACTCGTGGACTTCAATTCCCAGAATTCCTGAGCCAGCTTAGCTGGCTCAGGAATTCTGGGAGTTGAAGTCCACGAGTCATAAAAGAGCCAAGGTTGACTACCCCTGGAATAGCCCATTCCAATAGCGGGATGTGAGTTTAGGGAACTTCCTCCAGATACACTCTGTCTAAAGGACCTAATTCTGCTGAAGCTGATTTAAGGAAAGGAAAATGGGGAAACTGATAGATTAACAAATGTATGCCCTATTGTAGATACAACCAAATAAATATTCATAGCTCGTGGATACTTATACCTCTGCCTAAATTTGTTTTCATTCCTTTCATAGGTTCTTTGTGAACTTTTCCATTCCTCTCCTCAAAGAAGCAATCTCCCAACATCTGGAAATATTTCAGGGTTTATTAGAAGGCTTTTTTTGCAGCTGATGCTAGAGGATGAGAAAGTGACAATGTTTCTTCAGTCACCTTGCCCAGTAAGTAGTCTCCCCACATCCACTAGTACCACTGCTACCTACCCTCATTGCTAGGTAAAACTCACAGTAGGTTGAAAATAAAACTTTATAACATCAGTTCCTACTAAAAAGGAAATATTAAAATATATATTTTCCAGCCCTGATGATGTAGATTAGCCTTGCCCAACCAATAACTACATATTACACAGTTCTTTTACAATATACAGTTATTCCAATTTTATTCATAATAATCACTGATTCTGTAAGTTGCCCATATGCATAATCCTGTTCTATAGAATTCCTTATACTAAAATTTAGAAATCATAACTTGAAATCATAAGGTGCAAAAGAAGAAGAATGTGTGCTGCTCATATCTTGACAAATCCTATATTTTACCATCTGTTAATATTAATTATGCTTCAGTTACTAGTGTAATCCATTTCCATGTTAATTACTTAATCCAATTGCCATCCGTTGCTCCTGAATAATGAGATCATCTCTATTATATTTTTTGTTGTGTGGCGTGTGCTATTCCTTTCTTTTTTCCTTTTCAAGTAAAGAAGTTTAGAATATCAGTTTCATCTTGGTAGCTATTCACTATAAACCATTGTAATTAATCTATTTCTGGACTCTTTTTTTAGTAGTGCTTTAATAAAAACAGTATACCCTATTTATTTTAAAAACTCAAGGTCACAAAAACTGCACAAAACTTCTGTACTTTTTAGAATTATTAATTAGGTAATATGGCAAATAGGGTGCTGGTAGAAGTGATGGTTGGTGTTCAAGTTCTGGATTCTTTGTTTAGTTACTGTCTCAAGATAAAATCTGGGACTGGAATTTAGTTATACTGTACAAAATGATATTTTGAGAATGTCCTAATTTAGTTGTTACTCAGCTCATTTGTAAGCTGTTGAAATCCCCCGAATCAAATAGTATTCTATAACTAGCATCCATTAGAGCTTATTTATTTATTTTATTTATTAATACAATTTGTTTAGCCTCCCATCTCACATAAATCAACTCTGGTTGGCACGGAACAATAATATAAAACAACAAATGCAAAAATATAAAATTCATGTTAAGCGGTAAATATAAAAATGAATATATAACCCCTAGGCAAAGAGTGGGTAAAAATGGCTGCTTTGGCAATGGAGCCATCTAAGCATGTCTCCCATTCCCAGGCCTGATAATATAACCAGGTTTTTAAGGATTTCCACAATGATAAAAGGGATGGAGCTACACCTGCCCAGTGGCAACTTCTTTGTTCCTGTTATCTCTCTACTCCCTCTGCCCAGACACTTGGCACATTGAGGTGTTAGTTCCTGGAATCAAGTTTGAAAGAAGCTGCTTGTCTTTGGAGAGTTGTCCTGTAAACACCCCACATCCCTGTTCTTTTTTAAAAAAATAAAAAGATAATTTGTTTTGGGGGTTCCTGGACAGGATAGGCTTTCTATTGCTATTGACAAATAACCTCCAGTCACACATTTACCCAAAAAGAAAAAGTTATCTGATCAAAAGAACCAAATAATAATAATAATAATAATAATAATAATAATAATAATAATAATAATAATAATAATAATAATAATAATAATAATAATAATAATAATAATAATAATAAAAAAGTTGGAAGGGACCTTGGAGGAAACCCTCAGACAGAGGAAACCCTCAGACAGATGGCCGTCCAATCTCTTCTTAAAAACTTCCAGTGTTGGAGCATTCACCACTTCTGGAAGCAGGTTGTTCCACTGGTTAATTGTTCTAACTGTCAGGAAGTTTCTCCTTAGTTCTAGGTTGCTTCTCTCCTTGATTAGTTTCCATCCATTGCTTCTTGTCCTGCCTTCAGGCGCTTTGGAGAATAGCTTGACTCCCTCTTCTTTGTGGCAGCCCCTGAGATATTGAAACACTGCTATCATGTCCCCCCTCATGCTTCTCTTCGTTAAACTAGACATACCCAATTCCAGCAGCCGTTCCTCATATGTTTTCTCCCTCCCCAGCCAACCACCCTGTCCAGGAACCCTCAGAACAAAAGATCTTTAAAGAAAAAGGAAGTGAACCAGGGTATGGGGTGTTCCATGTGCAGCTTGTTCCAAACTTGACTTGGTGCACTAGCATTTCAGAGGCTGCCTCCCTGTTTGCCTTCATTTTTTCCCCTCCTCATTATTTTTGGCCAAGCTTTGGTAAATGGATAGTTTCAAAAAAGCCCCCACCCTTCCATTCTCAAGTCTTGGAAAGTTCATTTTTCTGGGGTTTGATCTGTTCCTTTGGGGCATGCTGCTCACTGCTGGTGTGCTGCTCCTAAGAGAGGAGGAGAAGAGAGACTGCAAAAAGAGAGAGAAGCTTGCTGGGTGCCTTAGCAAGTTTGGAAAGGAGATGACCGGAACAGGAGCCACACCTCAGCTGAGTGTGCATACACATATGGGGGAGGAGGCAGAAACAGGAAGAGAGTGAGCATCTGTAGCTAATAAAGCTTCTGGATACTCTTCAAGGGCAGTTTCATGCTGCAATAATCCAGTATGGAGGTGATTAGTGCATGAGTGACTATAAGCAGGGCCTGCCAATGCAGGAATGGACTCAATTGGTACACGAGATGAAGCTGTGCAAAAGTCCTCCCAGCCACGGTTTCATTGAGCAGGAGTTGTGAGTCTAGGGGGAATCCCAGATACTACACAAACACACACGTTGAAATGTTTACGGCCTTTTTATTTCTAAATCCTTCAAATAATTTTATGTTTCTTAACTTTTAGTTGTATAAAGGAAGAATCAATGCTACCAGCCACATAATTCAACATCCAATGTATGGGGCAGGACACAAGTTCCGTACTCTTCTCTTGCCAGTCTCGACAACACTGGCAGAGGTTCTTGATCGTGTATCAGGTAAGTTGCTTTTATTAAATAGGTATTTTTTACTCTAGTCTATGGAAAAAAGTGTTTCTCTCTCTCTCTCTCTTTCTCTCTCTCTCTCTCTCACTCACTCACTCACTCAAAGAAGCCTTTATTGATGGATTTATACATAAATGCATTTTATTTCATGTATTAATTTATTGCTCAACACAGAATTATCTGTGGTAGAATGTATAATAAAAGGGTGTATTTATATCAGGGCTGAAGAGTACATCTGTATTCTGTAATCTTTATTTAGCAGTCTTTTCATTAAAGTGACTTAACATTTAAGAACCAGATACTGCTCAAAACTCATATTTAGAAAGATGTTATAGAGAAAAAATATTTCACCGATATATTACTATAATTTAGAAAGCTATAATTATATTACTATAATTTAGAAAGTTTAGACAGCATCACCACCTGATGGATTCATAGCTGGTTGACCGGCCGTACTCAGCGTGTGGTCCTCAATGGAACTGCATCTGCATGGAGTGTGTAGTGGCATGCCCCAGGGCTCTGTTCTGGGGCCAGTGCTCTTCAACATCTTCATCAATGATTTGGATGAGGGGATAGATGGGGAACTCATCAAATTTGCAGACGACACCAAGCTGGCAGGAATAGCCAACACTCCAGAAGATAGGCTTAAGATACAGAAGGATCTTGACAGACTTGAACATTGGGCGCTATCTAACAAAATGAAATTCAATGGTGAAAAAAGTAAGGTTCTACATTTAGGCAAGAAAAACCAAATGCATAGGTATAGTATAGGGGGTACCTTGCTCAATAGTAGTAACTGTGAGAGGGATCTTGGAGTCCTAGTGGACAATCACTTAAATATGAGTCAACAGTGTGCTGCAGTGCCAAAAAAGCCAACACAATGCTAGGCTGCATTAATAGAGTTATAGAATCAAGATCACGTGAAGTGTTAATATCACTTTACAATGCCTTGGTAAGGCCACACTTGGAATACTGCATCCAGTTTTGGTCACCACAATGTAAAAAAGATGTTGAGACTCTAGAAAAAATACAGAGAAGAGCAACAAAGATAATTAGGGGACTGAAGAGTAAAACATATAACTAATGGTTGCTGGAACTGAGTATATCTAGTTTAATGAAAAGAAGGATGAGGGGGGACATAGCAGTGTTCCAATAGCAGTGTTGCCACAAAGAAGAAGGAGTCAAGCTATTCTCCAAAGCACCTGAAGGCAGGAGAAGAAGCCACGGATAGAAACTAATCAAGGAGAGAACCAACCTAGAACTAAGGAGAAATTTCCTGACAGTTAGAACAATTAACCAGTGGAACAACCTGCCTCCAGAAGCGGTGAATGCTCCAACACTGGAAGTTTTTAAGAAGAGACTGGACAACCATTTGTCTAAAATGGTATAGGATTTCGTGCCTGAGCAAGGGGTTGGACTAGATGACCTCCAAGGTCCCTTCTAACTTTTATCATCATCATCATCATCATCATTATTATTATTATTGCAAATGTAAAGAACATGGGACCTGTTGGTTTGAACTACAGCACCCATTATTCATAGTTGCAAGACCGAGGTGAGATTTGGCTGGCTTTAGAACAGAGGTCCCCAACCTTTTGGGCACCAGGGACCGGTTCCATGGAGAGAGATTTTTCCACAGACCGGAGAGTGCATGATTTTGTGTGTTGCCTGCATCCCGCAAATGGGGCTTTGCTTGATTGTACAGACCGGTTGCTGGAGTGCCGCGGACTGGTACTGGTCCATGGATCGAGGGTTGGGGACCCCTACTTTAGAATATATAATAATATTACCAGAATGTATATTCAAGTTGCATCAGTTCCACCTTATTTTCTTCCTATTTATTATTGATCTCAATACTGAACAAATCTTGTACAAAAGAAGTACTTCACAATGTACACACACACACAAGCACACCACCTCTCTTTGATTATAGTATCTCTTTTGCAGGCTTATGTGGTGGGGAGGGCTGAGGATTTTGCTCAATATCTGTATGACAAAGTCGCTCGGATCCGAGAGGGTTTAGACTCTGACTGGGTGGCCCGGGGGAGGAGACGGGAGCAGGTCTTGAGACTATTATATGGGAGGAGTTTGACTCTGTGGCTCCCGAGGACGTGGACAGGATCCTGGGGAGGCTGAATGCAACCACATGTTTACTGGATCCGTGCCCCTCCTGGCTGGTACTGGCGGCCCGGGAGGGTACACGAGCCTGGCTCCAGGGAATTATAAACGCTTCTTTANCGCAGTCTGTATTGGCAGGGGGACAGAGGTCGACCCCAAGGCCCCTAACTTGTGGGGTGCCACAAGGGTCGGTCCTCTCTCCCCTCTTGTTCAATATTTATGTGAAGCCACTGGGGGAGATCATTCGTGGCTTTGGGGTGGACTTCCATCAGTACGCTGATGATACTCAGCTGTACATTTCCACCCCAGGCCACCCCAACGATGCCCTTGACATGATGGCCCGATGCCTGGAGGCCGTAAGGGTCTGGATGGGGAGGAACAGACTCAGGCTCAACCCTTCCAAGACCGAGTGGCTGTGGCTGCCGGCGCCTCGGCATAGTCAGCTGACTCCGTCGCTGACTATAGGGGGCGAAACTGTGGCTCCCTCGGAGAGGGTACGCAATCTGGGTGTCCTCCTGGACCCACGGCTGACACTGGAAGACCAGTTGTCGGCCGTGGCCAGGGGGGCGTTTTATCAGGTACGCCTGATCTACCAGTTGCGGCCTTTTCTGGACCGGGACGCCTTGCGCACAGTCACCCATGCTCTTGTCACCTCCCGCCTGGACTACTGCAATGCTCTCTACATGGGGCTCCCCTTGAGGAGCACTCGGAAGCTCCAGTTAGTCCAGAATGCAGCCGCGCGGGCGGTGTTGGGAGGGACTCATCGCTCCCATGTAACGCCGTTACTGCACGAGCTGCACTGGCTGCCGGTGGCTTTCCGGGTGCGCTTCAAGGTGTTGATTATCATCTTCAAAGCGCTCCATGGCACCGGACCTGGCTATCTCCGAGACCGCCTTCTGCCTCAGATTACCTCTCATCGGCCGATACGCTCCCACAGAGTGGGTCTCCTCAGGGTGCCGTCAGCCAGACAGTGCCGGCTGGCAACCCCCAGGGGGAGGGCCTTCTCGGTGGGAGCTCCCACCCTATGGAACGAACTACCCCCAGAGATCAGGGTGATCCCAGATCTCCCTTCCTTCCGCCGCGCCCTCAAGACATGGCTATTTAAGCTGGCAGGACTGGCCTAAGGGGTATTTTTAGTTGGGTTTTAAAACAATTTTTTAAAGTAACAAAGGCCAAATTAATATTTCCTTTTAATTACGTTTTAACGGTAGTATTTTTGTACTTTTATATTTGTTTTTATTAGGCTGTTAGCCGCCCTGAGTCCGCAAGGAGAAGGGCGGGGTAAAAATATAATAAATAAATAAATAAATAAATAAATAAATAAATAAATAAATAAAATAAAAATTATGTTGAAAGCTGTTCTTGGCCTTCTCTGCATGCATGTCCACATACAGCCACTTCATTTTGTTGCAAAGCATTTCTTTTAAATGCTTTCTATAGTCCTAGAGTGTGTGTGCGTGTGTGTCTATGTGTGTATACATACACCTTTAGATACATAACTAAGTAAATAATGTTTTCTACATAATATAATATTTTGTTTTCAGATACTCCTAGCATCACAGCAAAATTAATTAGTGAACAAAAAGAAGACAAGGAAAAAAAGAATTACGAAGAAAAAGAGAAAGTTAAAGCAGACAGCGGGTTTCAGGACAATTACAGTGTTGTTGTTGCATCTGGTATGTCTACTTTTATTTTATGTCAAGTTATCATGACTGGGATGGTATGAAGAATAGTAAGCTAACTTTAATATTATATTTAATACTTCTTTTTAAATCAATCTCAGCTATCCTGTTGGCTTGCAATCATTAGGCAGAAGATTGGAATGTGGTAGTTTACAACTTAATAAAGTTATGCCATGTGTTCAAGCATTAATGCAAAGGTGAATGAGGCACTGGGTATGGCATTGGACAAAGGAAATCCCAAACATTTTTCATGATCACTGAAAGTTTCGAAGTCTACAACTCTCTCCTGCCTTCCAGAAGAAATAGCAGGGAAAAAAAACCCACCAAAATTGAATGGAGATAGGCTGAGAAGAGGGATAACAAAACTAAATGAAGTTTGGGAAAGGAGTATTAATAATTGGATAGGGAAGAAAAATACAGTTTGCCCTTTACTTATATAGGCTGAGTGCAATGAGGCTGGACCTGTGGAAAAGAGGAGAGTGATGACTCTACAAAAATGTATATAAAATCCTGGGGTAGAAGATGCTTTCCAGCTAAACATTCAAATAGCAACCTCTGTTAGGTGGGCATAGTGGACAATGTAGGATATTGTCTCCCTTACAAATACAATAGTCGTTATATGTTTTTGAACCCTTTTGAATTTTCAACATGTCTGCTCAAGTATGATCTGTTCTCCCCACAAGTCCTAAAACTAAAGAGAACCCAATTAAGCACAAAACTGAACTACCATGTTTCACAGATGAGATAAGGTTCTTATGCTGGAATGCAGCGTTCACCGAACACAACTCTTTTCATTTAAGCCCAGAAGTTCTATTTTGGTCTCATCCATCCGCAGAACATTCTTTTATTGGCCTTCTGGCTTATTCTTGTGGTCTTTCACAAACTGTAGATGGGCAGCACTCGTGTTTTGTTTTTGTTCTGAGAGTATTGGCTTTCTCCTTGTAGCCCAGCCAGGCCTACCATTGTTGCTCGGTGTTCTCCTGATGAGGGTCTCATGAACACTGACATTCAGCAATGCAAGAGAGGCCTTTAGTTCCTTAGATGCTATTCTGGGCTTCTTTGAGACTTCCCTGATTATTACACACACCTTGCTTTTGGTGTAATCTTGGTTGGCCAACCATTCCTGGGGAGGGAAATAACGATGCTGAATTGTCTCCAATTGTACACAATCTGCCTGGTGCAGTCCAAACTCTTGTCAATAGTTTTTTAACCTTTTCCAGCCTTTTCCATCAACAACTGTTTTTCAGAGATCCTCAGATATCTCCTTTGTTCAGGCCAAGACATACTTCCATGTACCTGTGTCACGAAGGTTCGGCTTTTGCCAAACATAAATATATAGCCTTGGATTATTTCCCCGAATAATTAAAAGGAATAAGTATAATGTGTTGTTTTTTTAATTGAGCTCTCTTTATCTAGTTTTAGGACTTGTATGGAGAACAGATCATGGTTTGGTTATATTTATGCAGAAATTTAAAAGGCTCATTAACTTTTAAGCATCTGTGTAAACATTGTTGAGTTGCATTGAAAAGTGTATAAAATGTAACCCTTCACTTTCATTATAGGTTTGAAATCTCAGTCAAAAAGGGCTGTATCGTCCACCCCACCTCGTCCACCTTCAAGACGAGGGAGAGTGGTGACAGATAAAGTAGGGAGCTCTGCCACAGGAAATGATTCTTCCAGCAAAACTATTAGTGTTCCTGTTTTTCACCTATATCATAAGCTGCTACCAGGTAGATTTCTGCTTTTTTTTTTTTTATTAGACCATGTTTTTCAAGAATTTTAGGTATATAAAATGATGTTGAATATCTGCACATTTTCTCAGATTCACTGTAAAGAAACCTTGATCTAAAAAACAGAAGCTTTCTAATAAAATGAAATTGTCCTATGCAACATTGTATCTATAGGCCTGTAACCTTAGCATTATAGACACGTCTAGTGTTCATGGATAAACTTACATTTGAATCAGTTATTTGATTCAATATATGATGTAGTGTAGTAATCTGTTTGGGTAAATATGTGTTGATCACATTTTCTTAAACAAGTATTATAATAGGATTTCAGTATTTATCCAGACTAATATTGTATATGTAGTTTTATACAAGTAGTCCTTGAATTATAACCATTTTTTTAGTAACCATTCCGTTATGAAGATGCTGAAAAAAGTTGGCTTACAACCGGTCCTCGCACTTACAACTGTCACAGTATTCTTGTGGGTGCTTGGCAATTAGCATGTATTTATGATTGCAGTGTCCCAGGGTAATGTGATGTCATCTGCAACATTCCCAGGGGACCTCTAACAAAGTCAATAGGAGAAGCAGGATACCCTTAATGACCTTGGCAGAAAAGGTCATAAAATTGGGTGTGACTCATTTAATGATTGCATGGATTAGGAGTGGAAATTTTAATCCCAATTGTTGTTATAAGTCAAGGACTACATGTAACAGAGATTTTTTTCAATATTACTGGAAAATCTGAGAAACGAAGCTTAACCATGCTTGTACTATAGCAGACATGTCAAACTCGTGACGTCGCACGACGTATCGAAACTTTTTCCCCATTGCCAGCAATGGGATGGGCGTGGTTTCCTCGTGACGCGTCCAGCCGGCAGTTTGACATCCCTGTACCTATCGGAACTGATTGCCTAGCACAGTGATGACGAACCTTTCAGAGACCGAGTGCTCAAACTGCAACCCAAAACCTACTTACTTATCGCTGGGTGCCAGATGGGCGTAGCCCACTGGGTGGGCGTGGCTGTGGTCATGGCAGACTGGGTGGGTGTGGCCAAGGTGGGCATGATCACCTTGATGTTGTTTATGGGGAGGGACGCCTGCGGGGGCCGGGCAGGGTTGGGGAAGATCCAGGGGGTCTCTGGCAGGTGGGGCGGTGGGCAGGAGGCTCGTCCTGTGGGATGAGGCAAGGCAAGGTGAGGCAGGGCAGCGGTGCCATTGTCACAGGGCAAGGCGAGGCAGGGGCCAGGGCGGCTGTTGCTTGACATTATCGGCCCCCGCACACAGAGGCCAACGAGTGCATGGATGCTGGGATGTATCTGGCCACATGGGACCTCAGCGAGTTAGCGGGCGGCTGGTTGAAGAGGGACGGTTGCCATTTCCGGGGCATGGCGCGTGAGTGCCGCGTCTGGAACGCATGCCATAGGTTCACCACCACTGGCCTAGCAAATGAAAAAAACAGAAGCTGCTTATTCATTGTGCTAATGATAATTGCTTATTTAAATCATGATTTGAATTGATCAGTTAAATACCAATTTAGAGCTTCTTGTAACTTCATGTGATTTAGGTCAGCCGCTGCCACCCGAGATGACCCTGGCCCAGCTTTTGACTCTGTTGTATGACCGCAAGCTTCCTCAAGGATACCGATCTATAGACTTGGCAGTTAAGCTTGGCTCGAAAGTCATCTCGGACCCCAGTCTTTCAAAAACAGATTCATTCAAGCGCCTACATACTGAAAAAGGTATAGTTAGAATTGGCTTTATATGGGTGCTGAACATAAATGTGGAAACTTACATAAAGTTTTATAAACTTACTGAAATATTTATACAATAGTGGCAAATATCTGTAGCTCAGGTGTAGGATGAGAGTGGAAGTTCATTCACCGAGCTTGTGGGTTGGTGTCTGAACTTTCTGTTACCAGGCTAGGTAACGTCTGACCCACCAGAAGACCCATCACTAGACCATCACCTGACGTGACCTTCCCATCATACTTTTTAATAGGAATTTTAAAACTTCTGATTCAGATACTATTTCAGGCTTGAAACACTTCTAAAATGACTGAATACAAAACTGTTCCAGTTCAAATCAGTTCAATTCTATTAATATTTTGCACATTCTTCTTGTCCCATTTTGTGCACAATGCTATATCATGCATCGTGCCTAGCAAAAAAATTGTCCAGAACATTTATGGCAATTCTCAGTATATTAGTAAAAATAGGATGGCTGTAAAAATAATAATTTGTACACAGTTTCAATCAGTTGATAATTAAGAAATGAAGATTTTTAATCAGGGATGTCTATGGAGATTTTCAGTCATCCAAGTCATGGTTGTCCTAAAGGTGCTTTTTCAAGAGGCAACTGGACGTTCTTGTTTTTCTCTGAAGACGTTTCATTTCTCATCCAAGAAGCTTCTTCAGCTCTGACTGGATCAGGGATATTGTAATTTTTTTCAACTAATCAAAAAAGACAGAAAATTTAAGGTTCTATATACAGAATTAGAATACTCAAAATACTTTCAGTATTTTTCTCTTGCCTCAGAAGTATTCTTGTCATAGCTTTTTTCATTGTTTTTACTGAAGAACAAGAGTTGGAAGGGACCTTGAAGGTCATCTAGTCCAACCCTCTGCTCGAGCAAATGGCTGCCCAGCCTATTCTTGAAAGCCTCCAGTGGCTTTGACAAACTACTTTCTGATTTTGCATATTTCTGCAGAGATTTACAAGTGTTCTATTTGTCCAAACATATGTCTCCTACTTAATGTATACTGTAGCTAAACAGTAGTGTGTTAGGCTGTGTAAATCTATAATCTCTCCAAGTAAATGTTATTTAATGGTATTTTTTACCAGTTTGACTGTTTTTATATGTTATGTTATGCACAAATAGAGCATGCAGATTTATTGGGACCTTGTCCTGAAGATGAAGCAGTCACACCGGTTGAAGAATGCATGGATACAGTGCTGGATGAATCTTTTCTTGATACTTGCCCGCTCCAATCCCCATTGCAAGTTTTTGCTGGGATGGGTGGGTTGGCCCTCATTGCAGAAAGACTTCCTATGCTTTACCCAGATGTGATTCAACAAGTAAGTCCAAAAAACATGTATAATTGATCTAATTAAAAGTTTCAAATCTCTGAAAAGAATGGGAGAGATGAGCTTAATGGTGGCTAAAGTACTCAAACATGTATGTCGTTGTTTCTATCTTGGCATTTAATAAACATTGGAATCTATATTCCAGTTAAGAATTATTATATATAACTGTAATCTTCTATGTACCCTGCTTTAAAAAAATCTAGGGAATTTTATTGTGTAGAGATAGATTAATATAATGATTAAAAATACTGGAATTATTCAGGGCTTGCTGGCACAGAATCTGAGAATGTTCTAAGTACTTCGTCTCAGTTGTATTTGTTCATATTGTAGAAATGAGAAATTTTGCTATTAATACTAGTTCCATGATTTCAAACTCATTTATCCCAGGTATATGGGGAAATGCCTCTTAGCTTGAATTAATGTAAAATAAGGAATTCAATATTGAAAACTGCGTCCAGATCTCTTAAAGGCACAGAGACTCTTGCATTCTCTTACTAAACTTTTATCTGGATTTCCAAATAATTTCTTCCACCACTATGAGATATTTATTCTCCTGTTTTCTCATATATATATTTGAAAATCAGAAAAATGGTTGTTAAAAGCCCAAATCTGGACTAATAGGGGGGTGATCAAAAACATCCCAACTGAACTGCTTCAAAAGCTCTTGAGTGCATCTAGTGATGTGTGGGCGAGCGTTATTGTGAACCAACACTACACTGGAAGTGGTGCCATAGAACAGGGATCCCCAACCCCCGGTCAGTGGACCAGTATCAGGCCACGGCATGTCAGCAATCGGTCCGTACAAACAAGCAAAGCCCCATCCGCGGGATGCAGGAAGCACATAAAACCACACACCCTCTGGTCCGCGGAAAAACCTCTCTCCACGGAACCGGTCCCTGGTGCCCCAAAGGTTGGGGACCTCTGCCATAGAAAATCCTGCCAAATGTGAAGATGCCAAAGGAGTACTGTTAGTGAAGTTCAAGGAGTGTGGCTCGACCATCAATTCAGAAGTCTACTGTGAAATGTTACAAAAACTCAGACGAGCCATCCATAACAAGCGTTGGGACATGCTGACTTCTGGTATGGTGTTGGTTCACGACAATGCTCGCCCACACACCACTAGACGCACCCAAGAATTTTTGAAGCAGTTCCATTGGAATGTTTTTGATCACACACACCCCCATAGCCCAGATTTGGCGCCAAGTGACTATTACTAAGGAGTTTCAAACCTTGTAAAAAGTTACGACGTGCCTCAATTTGAATGGTGATTATGTCGAAAAGTAATGTAATGTTGTAGTTTTCTAATGTGTATAATAAAAGTTCTGTATCTGCAAGTGTCTGTCAATGATAACCAAATGGAGGTTTATTTCTGAATTGCCCTCGTACTATGTTGAGTTTTTTTAAAATTCCAACACTGGAAATAAAAATAGAAAATTCCTACTGGTATATTTACTTTCTCTTACATGATAGAAAATATAACTGTTTTATTTGAGTATATAGCTTACTTTTAAAAATATGTGGCAGACACTTTCATAGAAACTTTCAAAAATACTTAAATAATAGGTAAATCTTGATTGTCAATTTAATTTTCAGTTACTGTTATTCAGTTATCAAGGGTGTTGTAAATAAATCAAGGAATTATTTAGTGATACAGTTTCCAGCTAAAATGTGCTTTTTAATTGTCAATCTTAGAGGATAGTTTTAAGCATCTTCTTTTCTTTCTGAAGGTGAGTGCTCCAGTTGTTACATCCACCACCCAGGAGAAGCAGAAGGACAGTGATCAGTTTGAATGGGTTACCATTGAACAGTCAGGAGAACTGGTCTATGAAGCCCCAGAAACAATTGCAGCAGAACCGCCACCAATCAAATCGGCAGTCCAAACTATGTCTCCCGTACCTGCTCATTCTTTGGCTGCTTTTGGATTATTTCTTCGCCTTC